ACACGCGCACACACGCTCACACACACACACACACTCGCACACGCACACGCGTACATACGCACACGCACACGCATACGCAGACGCACACACACACATACGCACACGCACACTCACGAACAGACGCACAAGCGCACACACACACACACCAACACGCACACACACACACATACACACGCACACGCACGCACGCACACAGGCACACACACACACACGCAAGCACACACGCACTCACACACGCACACAGGCACACACACACACACGCACACGCACACGCGCATTCACACACACACACACACGCACGCGCACACGCACACCCAAACGCACACGCACACGTACGTACACGCATGCAGACACACACACACACACGAAAACACACACGCACACACACACACACACACGCGCGCAAACACACACAGACACGCACAGACGCACACGCACACACACACACACACACGCGCACACACACAGACCCGCACAGACGCACATGCACACACACACACACACGCATGCACAATCACGCGCGCACGCACGCACGCGAGCACACACGCACGCGCACACGCACACCCAAAGGCACACGCAAACGTACGCACACGCATGCACGCACATACACACACACACACGCAAACACACGCACACACACACACGCGCAGACACACACAGACACGCACAGACGCACACGCACACACACACACACGCACACACACACACACACACACACGCCCGCGCACGCACGAACTCGAGCAAAGACGCTCGCGCAAACGCATACCCAAAGGCACGCGCACACGTACGCACACGCATGCACACACACACACACACGCAACCACACACGCACACACACACACACACGCGCTCTCGCAAACATACAGACACGCACAGACGCACACGTACAAACAGACGCGCACACACACACACACGCGCGCGCACGCACGCACGCGAGCACACACGCACTCTCGCGCGCACGCACAACCAAACACACACACGCACACACACACGCACGCACACACGCACACGCACACGAACCCACATACACACACCACACACACACACACACACGCACGCGCACACACACACACGCACACGCACAAACGCACACACGCAACCACACACGCACACACACACACACGCACACACACACACGCACACACAAGCACGCACATCCACACACACACACACCCGCAACCACACGCACGCACACACACACACACGCATACAAACACGCACATACGCACACACAGGCACACGCACGCGCACGCACGGACGCACGCACGCAGGCGCAGACATCCACAGACACCCATACCAACACCCAACACCAACACACACCACAACAACACCCAACACCAACACACCCATGTGTGTTGGCGCACGCCAACACACACATACCAACACCCACAGACACGCACACGCACACGACCACCCATACGCACACACCCGCACCCGCACCCACACGCACAGACACACGCCCTCACACACACACACACACCCACACAAACACGCATTCGCACACACACACACGCACACACACAGACACACACACACACACATACGCACGCACACAACCGCACACACACACACACACGTGCACACACGCAAACACCACACACACACGCACACAAGCACGCACAAGCGCGCACACACAGACACGCACACACACACACACACACGCCCACGCACGCACATGCACACGATCACACACACACACACACGCACAGACGCACACGCATGCAAACGCACACACAAACGCACAGACACACACACACACACGAACACGCACACGCACTCGCACACACGCACACGCACACGTACACACCCGCACACACTCGCACACACACAAGACAGAGACACGCGCATAGATACACACACGCACCCGCGCATACACGCACCCACGCACACATCCGCACACAGACAAAAACGCACACACACACCAACACCCGCACACATCCACCCAAACACGCGCAGCCACACACACACACACACGCAACCTCGCATGCACACGACACGCACTCACGCACACGTACGCCCACACGCACACGCACACGCACGCACACTCACACGCACACACACATACACACACACACGCACACACACACATGCGGACGCACGCACGCACGCACGCACACGCACACAAACACACACACACACACACACGCACCCACACGCACGCACGCACGCACGCACACACACAACACACACACCACACACACAAGACACACAAGACACACGAAACACTCAAGACAAACAAGACACACACGCACACACAAGACACACACGACACACATGACACACAAGACACACAAGACACACATGACACACACACACACGGCACACAAGACACACAAGACACACAAGACACACATGACACACACGCACACACAAGACACACACACGACACACATGACACACAAGACACACACACACACACAAAACACACAAGACACACAATATACACACTCACACACACACACTCACACACACACACACACGCACGCACGCACGCACGCACACACGCACACACACACACACTCACACACACAAGACACACAATATACACACTCACACACACACTCACACACTCACACACACACACACGCACGCACGCACGCACGCACGCACGCACGCACGCACGCACGCACGCACGCACACACACACACACACACACACACACACACACACACACACACACACACGCACGCACGCACACACACACACACACACACACGCACACACACACACACACACGCACACTTTTGCGTCGGCTGCTAGGCAGAGTCGCTGCGCTGGCGAATGAAGCGTGGTGGGGTGCTGCACGGAACGCGAATTAGGCCACCATGCAGGAGGAGCGGCGGCGGCGGGGGGAGAGGGAGAAGCCGGGCCCGCTCACAGCAGGGCCAGGAACGTGGCAGGGGCGGCGCTGGGGGTGAGCCAGATGCCCCCAAGACGGCCCAAGACGGCCCCAGGACGGCCCAAGATGGCCCCAAGAGGGCCCCAAAAAACACTCCCAAGACGCCCCAAGAGGGCCCCAAGAGGACCCCCAGGAGTGCCTCCAGCGGCCAAAATCATAGATTTCCCATAGGGTTTTGAAGATTTGTGTGTTCTCGCTTATTTCGATTCTCACAGGCCCAGGGCGACCCAAGCAGCCTCCAAAATCGTCCCAGAACTGCCCAAGAAGTCCCCAAGAGGGCCCCAATACAGCCAAAGAGGACTCCAAGACGGCCCAAAGAGGCCCCCAAGACGGTCGAAGAGGCCCCCCAAACAGCTCAAGAAGACCTCAAGATTGCCCCAAGGCGTCCGCGAGAGCCCCCCAAGACGGCCTCCGAAGGGGCGAAATGGCGCAAAAGCGCCTCAAGACGGCTCAAGACGCCCCCAAGAGGCCCCAAGAGGCCCCTTAAAAGCCCCCGAGTAGCGCCCAAGAGGCCCCCAGGAGGCCCCCAAGAAGCTCCTAAAAGACCCCACAACGATTGGACTGAGCGGCCACTTGACGGTCCCTCCGAAAGATCGGAAATGGAAGATCGAAGATCGAGTAGCGTCGACAAAACTGAAAAGTAAGAATGAGAGCAGACGATACTGGATGAGAGGGAAGATGAGGATGAGAAGATGAAGGGGGGGAGAATGGGAAGGAGGGGAATGTTCGCTGACCGCCGATAGAACGAAGAAGGAGTCAGAGGAGGCGTCAGAGGAGAGGGAAAAGGAAGAAGAGGAGGACGAGGAGGCGGAGGAGAAGAAGGAAAAGAAGCGTGCACCTGCTGGACGAACCGGCGGGCATTTTCGCCTTTTCCGGTACTCGGGGGCCCACAACAGCCCAAAACACCCACAAGAGGCCCCAACGCGACTCCCAAAAGGCCCGAAGAGGCCCCCCAGAAGCCTCCATGAACCCCCCAAGAGGCTTCACCAAGAGTCCCCATAACGACTGGACTGCACGCGGTCCGAACGCTTGAATTCAACGTATCCAACGTATCCAATGATTACCAAATTGCCACATGTTGTATTGTGTTGCATTCTTATGTCTCCACCCCCCCCAGGGGCCACCCCACATCCGTCGACCCAAAGGTGGAAGACCCCTTCTGGGCCTCAAAACCTCAAACAACTTACGGAAAATACATTATTTCGCCTTCTGGGGCCTCTTGGAGGTCTATAAAGCCGTCAAGACGGCTCAGGATGGCCTCAGTACGGGCCAGGACGGTTCCAGGACGGCCCGAAGTGGCCCCAAGATGGCCCAAAAAGCCCCCAAGACGGCCCCAGAGGGCCCCAAAAGCACGCCCAAGAGCGCCTCCAGAGACCCATACCAATGATATCTCCATTCTTTTTGAAGGATTTTAACGCTCTCGCTTATTTCGACTCTCAGAAAGCCCTGACGGCCCAAGCAGCCTCCAAAATGGCCCAAAAACTGCCCAAGAAATTTCCAAGAGGGCCCCCCAACGGGCTAAAAAACTTGCAACAGAGCCCAAAGATGCCCCCAAAACATCCAAGAGGCCGCCGAGACGGCCCAAGAGGACCCCAAGAGTGCCCCAAGGGAGCCCCGAGTGGCCCTTAAGACAGCCCCCGCAGGGGCCAAACCGCGCAAGAACGCACCAAGACGGCCCAAGACGCCCCGCAGAGACACCAAGAGACCCCAAAGAAGCCCCCTGGAGGCCCCAAGAGGCCCCCAAGAGGCCTCCAAGAAGCCGCCAACAGGCTCCCAAGAGGCCCCACAACGACTGGACTGTACGTGCTCCGGACGTGCACCCCGCGAAGCGAGAGGAATCATCCATAGCGAGAAGGAGCGGAGGCGCCCACGCGCGTAGGCGCCGGCTCGCGGGGCCGCGCCGCTGCGCCGCCGCTCCGCCGCCGCGGGAGGCGCTTCCCGCGGCCGGTGCGGCTGAGAAGGGCAGCGAGGGCGCGGCCGCCAGCATCTCTTCTTCTTCCTTCTCCTCCTCCTCCTCCTCGATATTGTTTTCCTCCTCCCCCTCCTCCTCCTCCTCCTCCTCCTCCTCCTCCGCCGCCTCCCCAGGCGGGGCGGGCGTCCGTCATCTCGGCGCGCCGCGGGGCGACCTGCCCCCGCGCGCGGCCCGCACCATGCCCTGGAGCCTCCCGAACGGGCAGCTGAAGCAGGCCTGCTCGGGTCGGGAGGGGAGGGGAGGGGAGGGTCAGTGGGGAGAGGTCGGGGGAGAGCAGGTTCAGGGGGAGGGGAGGGGGGCCTGGGACGCACAGAGGCACAACAACAATATTATGTCCTTCCTGGAGGCGCGCGTCCGACCCGACCATGTAGTATACCCATCTTGTAGTATATCGTTTCCCGAGCGGTGTGGCCAGAAAGCGTCCGCCACGACGCACATACTATAAGATCTCTCAGTGTGCGCGTCGCTCCTGGGGGGGCGACGCACACATAGTATAAGTATGTCGGGGTGGCGCCGAGGGGAGGGGGGAGGAGGAAGAGGAGGAGGAGGAGGAGGAGGAGGAGGAGGAGGAGGAGGAGGAGGAGGAGGAGAAGGAGGAGGAGGAGGAGGAGGAGGAGGAGGGGCAACGCTAGGCGTGCCGCGCAACCGAGGGCAGGAGCGCGTGCCACCCTGCTGGGGCCGCCGTCGGCCTCGCACCAGGGAGGGGGCGGCGCACGGGGAGGAGGGCCCCGGGGGGCGGGGAGGGAACGATAGGGGGTTGGCGGGGACGGCGGCGGAGGCAGGGGACTGGGGGTGGAGGAGCGGCAGCGGGACGGTGGAGCGGCTTTCTGCGCCGTCTGGAAAAAATCGGCGACTTCCCCGAAGGCACAAACACTTCACGGAAGGCTTGGGGCCTTCCGAGAAGCCCCGTCGCCTCCTGAGAAGGCCTTCTCCTCTCACTTCCCCCCCTCGCTCGCCGCCGGCAGGAGAGAGGAGGTGAGTGAAGGTGGAAAACGACCCAAACCTCCAAAGTCTTGACGTCTTCGCAGAGCTGGAACCCCAGAAGCCTCGACCTGCTCCCTGTGGCCAGGTTCTCATCACCAATCGTGTTTGACAGTCTTGGGGCCCATCAAGGGCCCCAGGCAGGCCGAAACTCCTACTAGCCCTTTGGGCGTAGGTGGTTGAATGAATTAATTATTCCAGCCTCATTTCTCGCTTCTGGGGGAAAGGTTCACCCTAGCTCTATATTACAATAGGACCTATGCAATTATGACATCCTTCAAGCACATGAGACCCTCCGCCGCCCAAAACAAAGATAACATCCAAATATACCCTCCCCATGATGCACAAAAACATCGAACAAACACGAACAACATTAGGGTACCCTTCCCGAGCGGACCTTTATCTAATACTTCGGTCCGGTTGTAATGAACACCTCTTCCCCGCCCGACTGGCGACAAACCAGGGACAATGCCACCCCGAAGAAAAAAACGCCAACAAACACAATACAACATGTCTGGATCATGTTCGTGCGTGCCGCGATCACTTTACAATGTGCTCTGACCTACTTATGTGGCGGGCGGGCGGGGAGTTGAGCTCGACCTCTCCCCTGTTTCTTCCCTAGGTCGGGAGGAGGCGTTCCGCGGGTCGTTGGAGCGTCCATGGTGGCCCAGGACGTCCCCAAGAGGCCCCAAGTAACCCAAGATGGCCTCCACTAGTTTCCAACATGCAATACGGCTCCAGGTAGCCCCAAAGCCTCACAATGACCCCCCGAGAGAACGCAAGCCTTGAAAAACGCAAGGCGACTCAATGTTTTCAGTTTTTCTGTATTTTCGCCTCTGGGGGCTCTTACAGTGGGACCACAAGAAACCTTCCACAAGAAAACCCAACCCTGAGACCCCAGGATGTCCATCGAAATTTGGTGTGGGAGCGTCGCGCTTTCCACCGCAAATTACTGAAACCTAAGAAGCCCAAGGCACCCTGGAGGCGAGCAGAGTGTTTCTTGGCATGGGCCTCCACTGAATGGCCTCAAGATTGTTGCAAGATGGCCCAAAAAAAGAAAGTCCTAATAGGGGCCCGAAGTGACAAGAGCGCCCGGCAGAGTTCCAGGAACGCCTCAAGAGCCAATCGTTTGGCCTCCGACGAGGGGGGACCAACTGGCGCCGCCATCTTTTGTTGAACGACGGCACCCAAAAGGTTCCCAACAGGCCCCTGAAGGACCCCAAGAGGGCCCGAAGAGATCCTAATATGGCCCCCGCCGCATCCAACATGTCACCCAAAGGTCCCCACTGCTACGCGATGGCTCAAATATGTGTCTGGGAGTCTCCCGGTGCGTAGCTGCATGTTGCTGCGCACGTCCCTCATCGAGGCAGCCTGGTGCTTATTTCTGGGTTGGCTGGCGTTTTTTTTTTTGTTCGCGAGCGCAAGCGGGAGAGCCGCGCGCCGTCAGGAAGATGCCAAGGAGCAAAGAGCTAAACTACAGCGGCCAGGAACGAGGCCAAGCGCGTGCAGCGAACGAGCGGCCGACAATTGCAAGCTACGTGCCGGGGCTCGCCCGCCGCTCAGAAGACGAGGACAGCCGAGCCCAAGTGGCGGAGGGCTCGACAGCGCCCAACTGCGACGACGTCACCCTCGACGAACTTCTCCTCGGCTACGACACTGCATGTGCCGAATGTGGAGCTAGAACACAACCGGAGCCGCCAGGAACGATATCGCACAACCACATCACGTAGGCGGGCGAAACTCCAAATAAGTGCCAACAGGAATCCTGCATCCGGAGGAACCCCAATCGGCGATGCGCGCCGTCCGAGCAAGCGACGCATCGCGAACCATGGCCTCCGAGCGGAACCAGCGTAGAGCGACGGGTGCCGAGGCCACGGTGGCGCCGCGGTGGGCCCGAGCACCTCCTGCGGGGGGGCAGCCGCAGGGAGAGGGACGGCCTGGTGTCTGCTGGCCTTGGCCCCAGCGCCCCGGGGGGATCGCCGAGGGCCACGTGCGCACTGCGGGTGGCGGTCGCAGCTAACAGCCGCAGAAATAAGTAGCGGGTGGGCCCGTGCACCTCCTGCGCGGGGACAGCCGCAGGAGGAGGGACGGGCCAGACAGTCCAGGACGGCCATCGATGCACCTACTGGCACCAGCGCCCCGGAGGGGACGCCGAGGGCCACGGTCGCACTGCGGGTGCTGGTCCTAGCTAACAGCCGCAGAGATAATGAAAACAGTGGGCGGGCCCGCGCACCTCCTGCGGGGGGACAGCCGCAGGAGGAGGACGGGTCAGACGGTCCAGGAAATTCATTATCTGCTGGCCCCAGCGCCCCCGGGGGGGGCGCCGACGGCCACGGGCGCACTGTGGGTGGCGGTCGCAGCTAACAGCCGCAAAACTAGCAAAGTCAGCGGATGCCCGGGAAACTCCTGCGGGGGGGCAGCCACAGGAGGAAGGGGCGGGCTGGGCGGATCAGGGCGGCTGACCGCCGCAAGAGCCTGGGGTCACACAGGGTGGGTTCGAACACCATCTGCGGGGGGGCAGCCGCAGGAGGAACGACTGACCAGGACGGACCAGGGACACCACTGACCATCGCGAAAGCCTGGAACCATGAGGCGACGGCGCGTGGAGGGCGGGGGGCAAAGGGGCGGGCGGGGGGCGGGTGTGGGGATGCAACTCAACAGCCGCAGCGTCAGTGAAGAGCCCAGGGGGCAGTAGACCAGAGACGGGGGGGCGTGGGGACGGGGGCCGGGGGCGAGGGGGAGCAGCTAACAGCCGCGGTCAGAGCGATGCTTATGCGTGGGGGAAGGGGGCGAAGGGGCGGACGGAAGGTGAGGGGGGGGGGGAGTTTCACAGCCGCAGCGCGCGCGAGGAGCCCGGGGGGCAGCAGCCGCAGCGTGGACCGAGGGCGGGGGGGGGCGGAGGGGCGGGGGGCGGGGGCGTGGGGGGGCAGCTTACAGCTGCGGTCAAAGTGATGCGCCTGGGACGGGGCCCGCAACGGGCAAGGTCCGTAGAGGCGGGGGGGCCGCCAGGGCGGGGGTCGGCAGTGTGCGGGCCCTCGCTGCCGGATGGGCGAAGAGAGCCAAGCGCCGATATGCAGGGCAGCGCGGGGCTGCAAGTGGCGCCGCAGGGGCTCTAGCACTGTTGGAAGCCCGCCCGGGGGGGGGGGGGGGGGAGCAACACCCGGGATCGCCTAAGGCGTGTCAGGGGGGGCCGGCAGTCATCCAGGGGGAGAGGGACCGAAAACTGGTGTCCCAGGAGGAGCTCTGAGGCCTGGGACGAGCCAACAGCCCCAGCTGGGCGCGTTCGAGGCGGTGTTGGCGCACGACATAGGTAGTGCGCTGGAGGAGCCGACCAGCCCCGCCTGGTCGGGGAGGGGGGGCTCCGCGAGGCACACTGATATACAGTGTGGGGCGTCCATGGCCAGGAGAGAGTCGTGGCGTGCCTTCGCCTGTGTGGGTGGCCTGGACAGGGACTCAGGGGTGCGCCTGGGGTTGGCGCGAGCCCACGGACCGCCGTGGCTCCACCGTCCTCGTCCAGCGGGGGTCGCTGTCCTCCCGGGGCCCCTTGCCTTTGGCCTTGCCTGGGGTGCCCTTGCCCCTGGTCCTATCGTTGAACCGAGTGCGGACTGCAGCCCAGTTGACGCCCAGTCGAAGCGAATCGTCCATCTTCATGGCATCACAACCGTGACTGGTCCATTCTTTGAGGAAGCGCAAGCATGATTCGGGCTCCTGGCTCGTGGGATCGGCGCAGACGTGGCCGGACCGTGTGGGATTCCTGGTCGTCCACTGGTGCCTTACCCCGTTGAAGTACTCTCCGAGGTTACTCTGAAGTTGCTTCACGGTCTCGGCCGGAGTCTCGCCAGGGGTGTTGATAAGGTCGATTCGCTCCAGTGGGGTCGTGTAGATGTAGAGGCCGGTGGCTCACTGCTACGCGATGGCTCAAATATGTGTCTGGGAGTCTCCCAGTGCGTAGCTGCATGTTGCTGCGCACGTTCCTCATCGAGGCAGCCCGGTGCTTATTTCTGGGCTGACTGGCTTTTTTTTTGTTCGCGAGCGCAAGCGGGAGAGCCGCGCGCCGTCAGGAAGATGCCAAGGAGCAAAGAGCTAAACTACAGCGGCCAGGAACGAGGCCAAGCGCGTGCAGCGAACGAGCGGCCGACAATTGCAAGCTACGTGCTGGGGCTCACCCGCCGCTCAGAAGTCGAGGGCAGCCGAGCCCAAGTGGCGGAGGGCTCGACAGCGCCCAACTGCGACGA